AAAAAAAAAAAAAAAAAAAAAAAAAAAAAAAAAAAGAAACAACCTCAACATATAGGTTATAAATAATAAAAGCAAAAGGCAATGAAAAGGGAATACTTTCCACAAGGAAAAAAAATGACATTTGGCAACATGCCTGTATTATACAAAAGAGAAACAAAATATTGAATCCAAGCATTAGCGTCTAAAAATAATCTCATTTGTGGGTAACAGGCAGAATGTACACGGAGCGCAATATAAGAACACAGACTATACAATTGTTGATTCATAGAGTAGAAGAAAAAAAAAACAAAACAACTATTTACAAATGAAAGGTAGGCTATGATCACACAGGTATCTCATCTGTTACTTCAGTATGGGGAGTGCACTTTGGAGAGAAGAACATGGAGGGGCTCCCGCTATCACTCTGGCCATGATTAGGGAGCAAAAGGAAACACCTGGCAGGGAATCAAATTATGCCTCACTACAATTAATGTAAAAACAAATATCTGAGAGAACTTCTGCTTTTCATGCCGACACTTTCCTGCACTGCATTTGAAACAAGTTTTTAACCTAGGTACATGGCTAGCTGCATCGCAACACCTAAATCAGTCACCTCAAACCGATGTACATTTTTAATTGTGGAACACCAAAATGTTTAGCTACAGCGTATGAATGATTACAACTGGCCAGCGTAGCGGGGACTACTACATTGGAAATGGGCAAATATCCCCAAAATACCAGCGCTGCATAGATTTTGATGGTGTGCTACAGAAGCATTACTTGTATCAAACACTGATCTCTTTGGCTTTAAATAGTTTAAGTCACATGACCAGGATGAAGCATGCAGATTAGTAAATTTGGAGTAAAATCAAACCTCCCATTCAAAGTGAGTCTTCAGAGACAGGACGAGTGCTAAGGCAATGCCAATGGCTCTGGACCTGAAAACCTCTCAGAGAAAACTTGTTAACAGAACGTAGTTTGGAAAGCGCACTGTGTGGGGACCCAGTGCCTGAAGGTCCAACGAGGTCTGGATGCGGCATTCCAAAAGCCGGAGGGCGGTTGTGCTCGATCCCTGCAACTGAAGAGATCAGCTCCAGCAGCAGATAAGAGTCTCAATTAAAGAAAAAATGGCAAAGAGTAAGAAAAATAGCGCCAACAAAATAAACTATTAAACAGCACAGCTGAAGATATGACTATCCTCCTGGGACACTAGCAAAAACGTGTCATGCTAGCAGTAGGAAAGGTTATCCTAGGCTGGACTACAGTTTTGGTTTTTTTGTTTTGTTTCCCAAATCCCCTTGTAGGCAGCAGTATAACCTAAAAGGTAAATAACTTCCTGTGTACCTTTAAAAAGACAAAAAAATAAAAGGAGAATCATACTTGCAGTTAAATACTATTGTGGCTATTGTCCTCTATGGTGCATTACCTTCACCTTCTCTGTGAAGGTTCTCATTCATCCAGGTCATGGTATATCTGTACACAATAAATCAAGGCAACTGGACTGGCTGTATTTTTTTCTTGAAGACATTTCGGTGGTCATCCGATTAGCTTTCTCTATTCTGAATTGAGAAAGCTAGTAGGATGACCACCGAAATGTCTTCAAGAAGAAAAAAAAATACAGCAAGTCCAGTTGCCTTGATTTATTGTGTACAGATAAACTCTCACATTTTCTTCTTTCTGTTAAAGATACATGTGTGAACAAGCTCTACAAGAAAAATACATACAGGCTTTAGCAGGGGAAAAAAAAGGACCGTCTCCTTGGTGGCTTTAGCAATGAAAACAAAAAAAAAAAAAAATCAGCCAACTGGAAAACAACTATTTGAACAATGTGTATTTACAGTGTTTTAAAGTTTAATGAAATGAACGTTTCTGCCCATCATGAAAATAAATAAATGCCTACCATCTATATACAGCGATGGCTGGGCTTTTGAGTTACAATAAGCACTATTCATGAGAAAAGAGTCTATCGATTCTATAAGAGCCGTAGACATGTCTGGAGTATGAGGCCAAAAATGTCAAAACTTATCAAAAAATGAAGAAGCGATTTCTTACAAAGGCAAGATGTCAAGGTTCATTTTATAAGACGTCAAAATGTAGCAAGTCCCATCAACCAGCCAGGTTACCATCTTGTGCACACTGCACACGTTTTGCACACGAGCACTCTTTATGGCAGGTGCTGTGACGCATATGGAAATCAATGAAGATAAATTGTCTGCACATCAGAAGTTTAAAACACATTTGAATTCATTGCATTATAACACCACACTATCATCCGAAAAGCAATTGTGATTTCAACTTTATTCTGGTGTGTGGATGACATATTTTCACAGGTTGCCATCTTGTCTGCCATAAACTGAAGGAGAGATGACATTTGATTGGCTGGTAGACAACACGACACACTATTACCCTTTGCCATGCCTTATTAAAAGAATAACTAGTAGAAAGAGCTATTTTGTCAGCTGGTTGAACATTAAAGGGAATCTGCCACATAAGACATTTATGGCAAGCCTCAGATGGATGGATATTCTGTGGTTCCAGGGCGGCATGCTCTAGAATAGTTATGTTATTCACAAGAAAGCCAGACCAGGAAAATTGCCCAGGAGCCAGAAAACACAGCTTCATCTGAGGCTTCTCATACAGTCATTTCTTTTGCCTATTAAAGATTTAGAAAATTGCTGCCCCTACATTCTATAGAGAATACCTATGACATGAAAGTTTCCACAATATACATTCTCACCAATATATGAAACATGTAACTTATTCAAAGAAAATGCACTACATGGGGTTCAGTAGCAGGGAAGAGGGGAGTCTGCTTTGTATCCATGTACACCTATTTCTGAAGTCCTACTCTGGGCACTTCCAGGACAAAAGAGACTAGGTATCAGAGATGTGCTTCAGATGTGTACTACGCCACTTGTACCATCCTTCACTGAAAATTCTTTAGCATGAAGAAGCCATTGAAAAATTCAGTGTGGCCGATATTAAAATAAAAACATCTAAAGTCAACATCAATCATCCAGTCTCTTCATTGAGTGCATTCTGAGACACTGGTAGTACTGACTGGAAAGACTTTACATGCAACTCCTATCCTTAACATGAAGGCACTTCAATTACTTTAATGAGTCTGCTCCATTAAACACAAGTCTTTCTACAGCTCCTTTTAACTGTATTTAAACAGACAGTCATTTGTCCATTCAGAGTAGAGTGACAGGGGCTCCCGATATACCCCTCCCAGCAAGGCATACTCATGGAGACTCCCCTCGCCGCCTTACCACTGCAGAAGTTCACCTTGGGTGAACGCCGGTTTCCGAGATTACCTAGTTGGATAGCGTCATGGCCGGCTCACAACTGTTTCAGCCTGGGGACTGGTCACTTAGGAACAGTCACATGGGTGACTACACATCTTCCCCCATCTTTAAATGCCCCGTTTTGTTAGAACAATAGAAAGTGGGCTTCAAAAAGGAGATGGAAACCGTGAGGGAGCATGAGTGGGTGAGTATACCTTGCTCGGAGAAGGAAGAGACCAGAAGAAGGCAATGTCACTATAACCTAAATGGGCAAAGTGAAAGCATCTCTGTAAGTAAACCATAGAGACTACAAGACCAACACAAGTGTTTGGGATATCGGACATTCTGGCAGAAGTGGCTGGAGGAAAATGGGACCCCAATGTGCACGGTAAGAGAATTTAAACTGGTAAACTAGGAGCAGTTCCAGAGATCACTGACATTTAGACACCGCGCTTACTTTTTTCACTCACCCCTGAAACCTGTTCACTGAACTTTACCTTTAAAAGTGGTTTACACATTCCTTAAATACATGTACTCTTGATGGTGATGGCCTGTGAAAAGGACAAGAAAAGTCTGAATGTATAAACCCAAGAGGTTTTGAATACTGCCCAATGACTTTTGTTTAGAATTCTTTAAACTATATCTTACATATTTATACATATATATTGCAGCTGCTACACTAGAGACCTCAGAAAAACAAGTGGAAAGCCATTAAGTGGTTGTTGTCTATAGCAACCAGGTTCTTCTCTAACTAACCTTCGTGAGAAAAATCACAGATGGGAACGGAGTGGTTGCTATGAGCTATGACTTTTCTTTCCTGTACTTCAGTTTTTATATTGAGATCTGGTGACTCTTCTGTACATTTAACAAATCTGGAGTAACAACTCGGGGGATCTCCTACATAGAACTAAACAAAATATGAAACATTTCCCCCATATAACGGCGTTATATGTGTATATTCATTTACATTTCTAAGCACCTTTTTTGACACCAAACTTTTTACAGTGTATTAAATTAGAATACAATACTACAAAAAAAAACAACCTAGGAAATTTATACAATCATTGGCGCTTCATTCGTTTCCCCGCCGTTTCTCCTGAGGCGTGCCGTCCTCTAGTCCTTGGTGTTGGCGGGCTAGCCTCTCTCTTCCTCTTTGTTCCACTTGTTTGTGGTGTCTGCTGCAGGGCTGATCTGAATAGAGATCAATCATTGTGAGACTATGGAATATAATATAATCAGTTATAAAAGGGATAAACTAAAATGTGTCATGTATTTGCATGTCCTGGAAAGCACACACAATTAAAATAGGAGAGTCATGCAGTTATCAAAAAGGGTCTCATTTATAGGAGGCATCTATCATAGGGAACGATTGTAATACAAGTCAATGAAAGGAGGTCTCTTCACGGCAATGACCAAATTAAACACTGCAAGGTTTTGGAAGTGCTCAGTCTTTGCCCAATGCTTCATATATTCCTAGGCCAAATGTTTCATATAAATAATAGGTCCAGGTCAGACATGCCCCTTCCTATAGATTCCTGCACCCAGCAGCACTTCCATCAAATGGAGTGAGAACTTTCGCATGCCTGTGCATTATTATTATTATACAGGATTTATAGAGCGCCAACAGTTTGCGCAGAGCTTTACAATATAAGGAAGACATTACAATTACAATACAATTCAAGATAAGGTGGTAAGGAGGGCCCTGCCCGTGAGAGCTTACAATCTAAAGGGTGGGGGAAGTGATACATGAGGAGGTAGCTGTGTGGGGGTGAATTGTTTGAGAATCTGTGAATGTGTGGCTTATGAAAGTTATGAAGAGGCCATCTGCCAGAAGGTGGTGGGTCTCTCCTTTACCCTCTATGGAAGTCAACCTGCACATGAACGGTACAGCTGAAACTTCAAGTCCCCATTATAAGAGGCACTGTATGGCCATAGTATGGGCACAGGGATGGGGAAGGTGCATCTAGTATGAGATCTGGGGTCTGCGATTTACATCATAGTTTTGATGAGGAAGAAATGGGAGAAATTAAGCTGCATATGTTCATCCTTTACTTACCTGATGATCCTCCCTGAGAGATCTCACAGTGCTCTATGATATACAGGAGCCATATTTAGGTTCTTACAGTAACATGATTAAAGGTTATAAGGAAGAGAGCCCATATAAATAATTTCTGTGTAAACTATTTTTGTGGTTTACATGAAATAAAATGGCAATGCATTTCAGACATTCCAGAAATCCCGCTTAATCAAAGCTAGAAAATGAAGGGTGTCTTGTGGAACCCCAGAAACAGACTGGACCTTTTAGGGCTTGTTCACACCAAGCACGTTCCAGGAGCAGAGCAGATCTGTTACAGACCGGATCAAAACTGCATCCAATGTATTCCAATGGTATTTTGGGCTCTAGTTCACACCGCAGCGTTCAGTTCCAGAGCATGTAAAGAAAACTGCAGCAAGTTCTATTTTACTTGCTTTGGAACGCATCAAAAACACATGCAAACGCCCTGGACCGCACTGAAAGCTTCTTTTAATCTTTTTTTTTTAACCAAAAACGTCCCTGAACGCATTAAAAACGCGGCAAAAAACCCCCGCGGTATAACACAATGCACTGCGTGTGCAGAAACTCGAGCAGATCTGGTCTGCATTTGGTGTGAACAAGGCCTTACTGAGTGCAAACAAAGAAAAATAGGATTTTTGTACTCACCGTAAAATCCTTTTCTCTCCGTTCATTGAAGGACACAGGCAACAGATCGTAGATCCTGAAAGGTAGGGTAATATCGCCACCTGCAAGAGAAGGACGCTAGGCACAAAACTAAAGACCAATTACAGCCTAGGGGCGGCCCCTGCCGGTGGCCAAACCCCCCACCTGCTGACAAGCCTCCAGTTTAGTAACAAGCAGTTAGGAGTGTACACCCCATAAAGAGGGTGGGGCCTGTGTCCTTCAATGAACGGAGAGAAAAGGATTTTACGGTGAGTACAAAAATCCTATTTTCTCTCCCGTTCATTGAAGGACACAGGCAACAGATCGTAGATCCTGAAAGGTAGGGACGTCACCAAGCAGTACACATTGAGGGATGGGCAACAACAACCAAACACCCAAAAGACACCTCAAAGAGTCGCCTGCAACACTTTGCGCCCCAAACCAGCATCCGCCGATGCCAAAACATCCACCTCGTACAACGTAACAAAAAGGTGTGAACAGAAGACCAAGTAGCGGCCTTACAAACCTGAGAAACAGAGGCCCTATGGCGGAAAGCCCAGGAAACCCCAACAGCCCTAGTATAATGGGCAGTGACAGGAAAAAAGGAGGCTCACGCCCCCTAACGACGTACGCCTGAACCACAACAGTACGAATCCACCTAGAGATGGTAGCCGCCAATGCGGCCCGGACCTTACGAGGGCCCACCGTGAGCACGAACAGAGAGCCGGCCTTGCAGAAAGAAGCCGCAGCACCCAAATAAACATGGAGAGCGCGAACCACATCCAGACAGAGGAGCGCCCGCTCCTTCCTATGGAC